TGATTAATTATGAAAATCAAATTAGACACACTAATAATCCACAGTTTAGCATAATTAAACATATTTAATTCTAGAGGGCGTTACAAGTTTATTATTTGTGACAACATATGTCGTCTCAAATACAATTCAATTAATTTTTTGCCCCCAAGCAAAAAAGATTATTTTGGCGGGGTGGCAAAATTTTTTTGCGAAGACATTAATTTATTTCGTCGCAAAAAGTGATTTGTATTCCCTCAGTAAGATGGAAGGTGGAAAAAGTGGGCGGGTCTCCAAATGTTATTTACGTCGAGATTAATGTGTGTCATCGCAAAAAGTGATTTTAATTGCCTCAGCAAAATAGAAGGCGGGGAAAGTGGGCGGGTCCCTAAATATTATTTACGACGATATTAATGTGTGTCGTCGTAAATAATAATTCCAGAACCTTCCTCCTAAACCCTAAATAATTTAGTTATATTTGCGACAACATGTGTCGTCGTAAATAATGTTTTATGTTGTCACAAAAAAGTCCATTATATACGAGCAGAGCCCCCTCCTCCATTTTTTCTGATCGACTTCTTTCTCTCTCTCCCTCTCAGTCAGCCTCTCACCATTTTTTCCGATTTTCTCTCTCCAAAATCTTAAAATCTCTTTATATTCTCTTCAAAATCAACAATATTATAAGTTTTATTTGTTTTTTCATCCAAAAAATCCCAAAATCCCAAAATCTACCACCACCGTTGAAATTTGCCGCCGCCGCCCTTTGTCCCTGTTAGTCTTGCCGTTTTCAGCCCTCGTTTCAGTGGGTTTGAATTTTGTAAGTTTTTTTAGTCTGAATTATTGTATTTGTTAGTTTAAATTTTATGACTTTTTTGTTATTTGAATTGTATATAATTATAGATTATAAATCTTAAAATTTGATTTATAGATTTTAGAATTCATATATAATTTGAAATTTGAATTATAGATTAAATTTAAGGTTATAATTTGATTTAGGTTGAGATTAAAAGTTTTAATAATTGTTCTGGGTGGCACATCTTGTAGTTATGGTGTGCCAAAATCTTGTAAAAATTATTTTTTACAGGTTTAAATTTTTGAATAATAAGAAAAATATGTCGTTATGATGTTGAAATTTTATTAAAATCTATTAATTTTAATAATTTAATTAATAATAATTAGTTATATTAATAAAAAAATTAAAAATTAATTATAAACATTATTAGTATAACAATAAAAAAAATAACTTGTTCATAAAATTTGATAAAACTTATAAAATTGAAACATGAAATGTTAAACTTTCTTTATAAACGTGATTGTATAGTCACAAGAAAACATGAAGTATGATTAGATGTGTTATTATTTTTATAGTCAAGATGCCAATTGACAAGAGTTGGATGCATATGAAAAATCAGTTATTTGATTAGTATTGGGAAGGATTGTCTGCTTTTATCAATATTGCCAAAGATTATGTTGATAAAAACGATTGTACAAGTTGTCTATGTCAAAGGTGTTTAAACCATAAGTTTTTTCCAGTAGAAACATTAACAACAATTCAGTCTTCCTTTTCAAGTGTAAGTGGTTGGACACTCGGGCATAAAGAAGAAGAATTCAACAATATAAGAATAGAGTCAGTGTCTTCGTCAAGGACTCGTGGTATGAGCATGAACCATTCATTCTAGCTTCCCAGACGGAATAGGTTTTTTACGTTGAGGATTTATATAACGGTCCGAATGGTGATGATGAAATTGTGTTTGAATATATTGAAGATGAACCCGTCGATTCTGAAGATGATGACGACGTAGAAAGTGTTGATGATGTTGTAGACATTCGTAGTGATGACGAATAGAACCAAAGTAGTTACCTCAAATTTATGAATTTTTTATAAAATTTTTAAGAAATTGTGTACCAAATAAAGTAACAAATAAAATTTTTTTTACGACACAGCATCTCCATGTCTGGCCCAGTAGCTACATGCGCCGGCTCTACAGGAGGATCATAGCCACCACCTGATTCGACAAGACTCCCGACACATTGTCAGTCAGGTATTATACACTACGACACATGCTCCTAAAACTTGTTACTTGTCGAACTCTTTATAATCAAATTTTGTTATTTTTATTTTCGTACAGTTCCGGAGCCGACATCGAAGTCATGCGCTCGATGAATCCCAACATCAACTTCTTGCCAGTTAACCACCCCCAACTGTTGGTTCCTCCGCCGCCTGAGCAAAACGAAGAAGACGAGGATGAGGACGACGATGCTGCTAATTTAGGAGATTAAAATATCTATTTTTATTTTTTTTATTATCAATACTTTTTAGTATTTTTTAATTAATTTACCTTTTAAGACTTATTTTATTGTTGTGCTCACTATTTTATATCAATTATATTATTATAAATTTTCTTCAAATTTTTATCTTCATTAATTAATATTATTAGGAACATACAAAAAAAAAAAAACTATTTGCGACGACATTTCTACGATGTCATCATAAATACTACACATTACTAGCGACAACAATGTAGTCGCAAAAGGTTTCAAGTACATTTACGACGATACTTTGTTGTCGCAAATAATCTATGACATGTCATCATCAACGACATATTCGACGGAATATTCATGACGACTTATTCGTGACGATTGTCATCGCAAATATATTTGTTACAATATCTTAAAATTGTATCGTCACAAATAGATCATTTGCGACTAATTTTTTACGGCGACTAATTTACGACGACATATCGTCAAAAATGCTTTATTTGCGATGACATAACGCCTATTTACGATGACATTGAGTCGCCGCAAATGACCTTTTTTCTTGTAGTGGGTCGTGGTCTTTCACAAGCTTTCCATCCTTGCGTTTTTCTTTCTTTCTTTGTGTTTTTTTATTTTTATTTTTTTTAATGATTTCGTCTTTGAGTTATCTGTATATAAAATAAAGTAAATTGTTAGTGACTTCTTGTTTTTTAACCTTCATTGTCCTTTTGTTATTATTATTTATCACTTCTGTTTTAAAGCTATTGCCGTTTTTATTTATTATTGTTGTTTTACGTGGTTTTTGTCTTTTTCCCTCGTTTTTAAGTATCTATAGCGTTTTCTTGCAGTTGTTTCTTTCCACGGAGTAATCTTCAGTTGTTGCGACTATTGTGTTTATTGATTTGCGTCGATTTTAGGTAGGCTTCTTTTCCATGTCCCTTCTTACGTCCTTGTGCCTTTTAGGTTTGCATTCTTTTACTTGATTTTTTTTTCTTTTGGTCGTCTTCAGTTACTTGTTACTTGTTTTAGGGGAGTCTTCAGTTACTTATCGTTTAATCTTTCTTGCCGTTTTTTATTTTATGTCGTTTTCTAATTTTTTTGTTAATCTCATGTGGATGTCGTTTTTATGTAACACCACTTTTAAAAGGTGTTGTTTTCAAGTTGACGTGTTCGCGTGCTTTGCATTTGTTTCCCTTGTTGTTCTCGAAATGTCCCTATCACTATGATTCGATCTTTTCTTATTTTCTATTTTCATCTTTTACTTGATAAAATTATCAGTCCCAATATAAATTTGCATCTTCCACCCTTTATTCTTGACCTCCTTACAAACATCATTTATGAAATATCAAAATTTTGAATTATCAGTCCCAACATAAATTAATTTGCATCTTCCACCCTTTATTCTTGACCTCCTACAAACATCATTTATAAAAAATCAAATTTCACACACTTATTTTACGCATTTTGAATTATCAAATTTCCATTAAATTTCATTAAATTTTTAACTAAAAAAAAATTTCAAATATTTTTTTATTTTTTTCTAAGGTGGTTCAAAAAGAAAAAAATTAAACGTAATAGCATTGGTACAATTATTAATTTTCTTTGTAAGAAGTTGATTAATTAAGGAAGTGGGATGACGAGGGTTTCAACTTATTGGATGGCAAGTAGGAAAACAAAAAGAGAGGGGGGGAAAAAAAAGCAACGTGTAATAGGTGGTAAGTAGTAGGAAGTGGGCTCTTACTCAATCATTTTAATAAATATCGCCTCTGGCCAATTGGCGTCATGAAACTTTCTCTTCTTTTAAGCTGGAAAAGCATTGCTTTTGTGAATTAGAAACATTATTGAAAAAAAAATGAGGCTCCAATCTAAATACTCAGAAGACCCTAACAAGGGAATGATGGGGCGTTGATAAATATCTGCAATTATGTCTTCATTATTGAGGTTGATTTTCCAAAAAGAAGATTCTTGGCGATCATTCCATTAATGAAACTTGAATAATTTGCTACTTTCTTGACATTGCACATAATCATAACACTTCACAATAGTTCTCACCATATTTCCTTGCGTAACAATTTACATGACAAATTCTTCCAAATTAGCGTTGAGGCAAAAGATACTTTCACTGTCCAAAACAAATCTAGATTTTAAGACTTTTTAGTTTTACTTATAGCAGAAGAAGCGAAAAATAAGTAGAAAAAAAAAAACAACTAACTTCACAAAATGACTATAAAAATGTGTTAGTGTTTGTGCATAGTATATTTTGTAAACTCTTAATTTGGTTATATAATTTTTATACACACTAGTTGTGTCGTGTTATGCACGAAGAATTTTTGGCCCAAGTGAGAATCCGCGTAAAGCTAGCAAGCAACTTACTCCACACTTTCATTTCGGATTGATGACTAGAAAGATCTAGAAGAGGGGCAGGCCAATAATGTATCTACAATCCTCAATCATAAAAACATTACAACCAAACCATTCATTTTTTTTTTTAATTAAAATATTTGTCCTTTATTTTCTAACGGACAGCTTTCAACTCTAGTCTTTAATTGCAAGGAATTGTAACTTTCTAATGACCTCTATAAACTTGCACACAATAATAGATATATTAAATACTTGGTAACATAACCTCCCCATATTCAAAATCCTTCGCTTTCTAGAAATAAATGTCCCCTTTATTTGATTACTTTTCTAGCAAGCACTCGAATTCTCTCTCTCTCTCTCTCTCTCTCTCTCTCTCTCTCTCTCTCTCTCTCTCTCATATTGGGGTCTATAAAAGAAGGAAATTTTGCTTGACTATATAGATCAAGAAAAAGAGAAAACATTTGGTCCTAGGAAATTAAGGTGAGGAAATTATACAATGAGTGGAAGTAGTTTTCCAAACACTGCCTATACAATCCAAGGATTGAAACCAAGTGGAAATAATCACATGAGCAAGAATATTGAGAAGCCTTGTCACTTCCAAATGCCTCTTCACTATCCAAAATACAAGAGAAGCGACTATGAGACCATGCCCGAGTGGAGACTTGACTGCCTTTTGAGAGAATATGGTTTGCCCATCATTGGAGATGCGGAGGAGAAGAGGAAGTTTGCCATGGGAGCTTTTCTTTGGCCTTCTCATGATCACTAATTAGGAAATTTAAGCTTATAAAATATCAGATTTTCTATGCTTTTGTTCTAGAGTTTTATATGTGTAATCTAATATGTCCATGTTTATGCTATATATAGTTACTAATGCATTACTATATGGTTGTAGTAGTCTTGGATTAAGTAGCTAAACTTCTTCGGAGTTTGCCTTCCTCTATGTACTAATTGCCACTTTTCTTGCCTTTTAAGGGCTTCTTTTTAATGGAATGTAATATACATTAGAAATAAAAAAAAAAAAACACTTTTTTTTCCTCATATGATTCCCTGATCATGGCAGCTTCATTTGTTATAAGCCTTAAATCGACGTACTAAGTTTGTTGAAATTGTTCATCTCTTCTAATTAAGTATATAGAGAGCAAAAATAAAATAAAAAATAAAAAGAGGCTGAAAAGGGAAAATGTATACCGAATCCGAATGTAATCCTAGTACTAGTTCAACTGAAGATAACCAAATTTCTTGAGAACACACCTTTGTACTTTTTATTCTTTCCCTTTTGTTTTTTATTTTCGCTCAGAAACTTTTTAACCTTTTGATGCCATTTCTTCTCCCAATTGTTTTGATTATGCAGTAAAAAATTTAAAACCTGTTAATGTTTCATTACTTGCAAACGTTTAACTGTGTAAATGCAAAATTATATTTGTGAACCAGTATTCGTGCCATGACTTGGATACCGGCACCATAGGACGACTTGGTGCAACATTAATTCTTCGGTTTTTTTTTTTTTTTTTATTTCACTCTTTTTTAGGGGTAAAATTTCAGTTTTATTACTTGACCATTTATGATAATTTATTTTGGTAACATTCTTTGCCCTTGCATATCTTGTTCATTTACTCTTATCATATAACTTTGTATCGGCTAAGTTCACAAGTTAGAAATAAACGGACTCAAACAGCTAACACTCGCTACAGGATAAACCACTGTCTCTCAGGCCCTCAACGTCTATTCTACTATACAGGTCACTTATAGACATTGATGAGGGCTGTCCCTCCCTCTATCTAATTACATCCGGTAAGATATGGTTGGAACTTTTTAACTCTTTTATAAGCTCTTAGGCCTCATTAATTTTATTGATTCGAGTTTTTAGTTCTAGATTTTTACAGTTAAAAGCTCTTAGAAAATGTCACATTTAACTTTCTCTGTTGCAGTTAAAAGCTCTAAAAAAACGCCACATCTCAGTTCGAATTGAAAACTCGAATTTTTGAAACGAACGAGGCTTTAAAAATTCCATATTGATTAATTGGACTAACTTGCTCAAGTGAAGTGGTTTGCAGGGTTTGACCGCTTCACAGAAAGAAGTTTTAGTGAGAGGGAGAGAACACACTCCAACGAGAGCTCTCTCGTCACTGACTCATAGCATGAGAGGGGGTTCGCTTCAACCGTGTCAAGCATATTCTATGCCACAAGTTTTGTTTTTTTTTTTTTTTTTAATCCTCTGTTCCACAAGTTGGACAAGGTAATAGATCATTCCAGTCTCTATCTTTAATTAAACTCAGATTTTTCTTTTGTCGTTTTCGTTTTATCTTAATTCAATGTTTAGTAACAATCCATACCAGTTATACTTATCTCTAACATACCCTGATATTGAAAACATGAGCCTCTTTGTCCTGTTAAGATCAATTTGATGGCTAAATTTCATAAAAAAGAAGGTTGAAATCTAACTAGGAATAGCATTCATAGTTACCATCAGTTTATTTCTAGTTAGTTGTTAGGTCTCTAATTAAATATGAAAATTAAATGTGCCCTCGTCTTCACGGCATACGTATCAGGACAAGGGAAAATGATCTTCTCTTCAATGTCCATTTTATTTATCGATTTGTTTTTAAACCACACACTATAGTCTACGCATGAACAAAAGGGAAACGATTTCATCCTTTTCTGTAAACCGCCAACTAAATAAGTCGGCCCATTTGCTTTTCTATATTTTGTGCTACACTATTATCAGCTCTACGTTCCGCTAAGAATTAGATACCTTAATTCTTTACTATCGTCTCACCACCAAAAAAAATAAAATAAAAATAAAAAAAACTAACAAAAAACAATACACAAGATTTATAAGGGTTCACCTCTAATTATGTCTTCTTTTGACCACTGAAGTAATCACCTTGATAAAAAAAAAAAAGAGACGATTATAAGAGAAATCATACGTCTCTCAGTTCTCTCTTAGGACCCATTTAGTTTACTGGTTCGAGTTTTTAATTTGAGTTGAGATGTGACTTTATGTGAGAATCTTTTACTATAATAAAAAAATTAGACGTGACTATTTTTAAAAACTTTTTATTATAACAAAATTCGAATAAGTGAAATAAACGTGGCCTTAACATCTGCATGTCCATATGACAATAATTTTGTAGTAGAACTTCAATACCTTGAAGAGAAGAGCACATCAATAACGTAAGCAGTGGAAGAATCTGTCTTTTCATTGTCTTGAAACAAGATCAGTGGGGCCTTCTAAGGAATTCTGCAATCTGCATTATATAGTATCAGCGTTGATTTTCATGTCTTTTCTTAAATACAAACACAACTTGTTCTGAAGGATAAACTGCCACCACAAGCATAATAGACTGCAGAATGGCTTGTCTTTAGAGCAGCTAGGATTGAGAAAAAGTTGAAAGAAAATAATTGGAAGTCTAGGGAACAAGAAAAGAAAATATGGGTCTAGATGCAATGCATTGACATGCTTGAAATGAACACGGATTGCTGACATGAATGTGCTGTAACTTGGCTTCATTAAATTTTGAGAAATACAACTACTGATCTCATAGAATGACTGATTTTTTGTTTTTTTGTTTTTAATTTTTAGTTTAAAATGGGGTGCATCTTTAATTAAGAAAATATAATTTAGTAGGGTAAGAGGCTAGCCAAGCTAACCAGAAATTAAATACCTTTTGTCTCCTGTTCTTTCTTGGTAGAAGACTTTTAAAAAAGAAGGAACTTTGCAACAAGATCATATTTGAGTTCTTGATTAGTGAAAAAATATCTGCAGTAACTTAAAAAGCTCAAACACAAACAAAAATTAGCTTTTCTAGCCGGGAAATAAGACCTCACTCATTCAATACAAATGAATTAGAAGACAGAGTAAAATATGCATGATAATGGAACAGTTGCATACATTTAGTCATGTATATCATCATCAAAGCACATTCTCGATACAATTCGGGTCGGCTATATGGATTCCGGTTCTCCAAACAATGCGGTATTCTCACATTTAGTCGTGTATATAAATACATAAAGATGAATGAGTTTGGAGCATGGATTGACCTGCAGATGACAAAATTTAGAATAGAACTCCAGACTATCCTCAGAGAATTCCTGTGAATCTGGAGACAAACTCTCTGAGGATAGTCTGGAGTTTACTTCTATCTAAATAATTGATAGTAGCATGTAAGTCTTCAAGGATAGATAAATACAAGCTAATAATAACTATAATTGACCTTTTCAAAAATAAATAAATAAATAAATAAACCTCTGCTTGACCCAATAGACAGAATAAGAGCAACTTCAACAACCATATATTCATTATATTAAAGTCTCACCAATAACTACAGTTGAGTAACATGCATATATAGTTTCAATCCATAATTCAGTCTAACCATGTCTTACCATTCTAATTATGCCATAAACATTACATTTACATTTACATGACTTAGGTAAATAACAGAAAATCATGTTGTTTCACCTAGGTGAGACAGCTATTGGGACAGTAATTTGGGGACAACAGATCTAGACTCAGGAGATAAGATCCCTTTCATTTCTAACAGAAAAAAAATCATCTCAATCAGAATTAAAACGAAAAAGTTATAACATTTTTAAGAATAGAAAAAATACTGTTCATTAATTTGAGTTCGAGTTTCTGAACTCGAGTTAAAGGGAAAACTTGAACTCGAGTTTTAGTCCTAAACTCGAGTTTAAACTTAAAAGAATATGAACTCAAATAAAATTGTAACTCGAATTACATTTTTTTGAGTTTTTCACTCAAAAGAACGAGCCCTTAGACCCCGTTCATTTCACCAATTTGAATTTTTAATTTTAATTTTGTTATAATTAAAAACTATCATAAAAAATTACATTAAAATTTTTTTTACTATAATAAAAAACTCTCATATAAAATTATATCTCAATTTAAATTCACGAACCGAAAAACTCTCTTAACAGCTGTATATTACGTTTTCAACATAATACTAAAAGCTTTTCACTTTACTCCTAACGCTTTATTTATTTATTTATTTTGCCTCTTCTCCTTTTCTTGTTGCTTTTTACTTTTTGTCTCAGTTTTTAACATGATATATATATATATATATATATATAATCTGAGATCCATCAATGCGTTTCACAGTAAAAGCTAAAAACTTCATAGAAAATTAGGAAATGAGTCTTCTTCTTGCTTCCAGAAGATAAGATAAACACAACCACCATTAATATCGAACAAGAGCAGCACCGATAGTAACAAGCTCATATAATCTTCTTCTTTTCCATTAAAGTCTTCACTGAAAACGATTATTAGGAGAAGCTATTCGAATCGTCTTCTCTCGAACGCCCAATCCACCATTTCGATTTGCGCTCTCCTCCTTTTCACTCTCTCCACCTTCGAGCCGAGCAATCAATGAGCGAGGACGATTATCAACGCCGATCCCCAAGATCCCTCGCCGAGAATGAATCTCGCCATACTACTTTGAAGCCGAAATTGAGCCGGGATTCTCTCTTGTTCTCGTCTAATTGATACTTGTCCAAAATGTGGAAGCACCGAAAATCTAAACTCAAACACGAATCAGTCTCTCGTCCTCACGCGGTTCTGCAAGGCTTAGGCACTCTGTACAAGCGAGGAACCATAGCCATGGCCAATCTCCGAAGTTGGACTCGGTTATTGACGATGAGAATGAGAAAAACGATATGGAAAAAAAAAAAAAAAGGAGTAACGAAAACGTAATTAGATACAGCTGCAAACCAAAGCCTATATCCGCTAACTAACTCCGTTTTTCCAAATTTAAAATAGCTGTCAAAGTTTGATCATGTGTCGAGAGATGTTTGATAAGAAGATTTATACCATGATTTGAATAATAATTTATAATTTGTTATAATATTTTTTATTACAAAAAATACATATAAATTAAAAATAATTTTAATTTATAAACTAAACGTCTCTTAATAATAGGTGGGATAGATAGACTCATCTTATCCTAGTGTTACTGGTACTAGATAACTCTCTGAATTTATTATATACGTAAAAAAAAAAAAAAAG